TCTGTATCCCTTTAACCTCTGCTCACAGGAGAGCCCGCTTGAATTGGTGCTTGGAACATCACGCCTGGACTCATGATCAGTGGGCCAATGTTCTCTTCAGTGACGAGTCAAGATTTAGTTTAAACACAGATTCTCGACGAGATTTCATCTGGAGGGAGCCTGGAACCCGCTATCATCCCAGTAACATCAGGGAAATAGACAGTTTTAGAGGGGGCAGTCTCTTAGTCTGGGCTGGCATCAGTTCTAGCAGACGCACACCCCTCCACATTTTTTCTGGGGGCACTTTAACAGCCCAAAGGTACAGGGACGAGATCCTTGAGCCCTATCTAAGACCTTATAAAGATCAAATTGGTCACAATTTAATTTTTATGGACGATAATGCTCGTCCGCATAGGGCTAGGCTAGTCAATGAATATCTCCAGAGTGAGAATATTCGAAGGATGGATTGGCCAGCCAGATCTCCGGACCTGAATCCAATAGAGCATGTGTGGGATGCTCTAGGGAGGCGTATTGGAGCTCGTCACCCCTCTCCCAGAACCCTCGTTAAGCTAAGAATTGCTCTATTGGAGGAGTGGGGTTTACTACCCCTGGACCTCCTCCAAAGTCTGGTAAACAGTATGAGGGCTTGCTGTGAGACCTTGATAGCTGTTAGAGGTGATCATACTCCCTATTGATATCTTATTTCTTTAAGACCTGGAACCTTAGCTTTGGGTATGTTGGTAATAATTTGCATATTTCATAATTTCAAATATTTTTTTTTATTTTCATATAGCTAGTCAAATTCTCCATAGTTTAAACTACTTGTATACTAAGTTTTATATTTGTTAATAAATTAGCTTTTGAGAAATTTCAATATTGGTTAAGTTTCTTATTTTTTGGACACCAGTGTATATTTACTTGAAATTTGCGGAAGAGCAATGCTGGATAGAAAGAGAAGCATATTTTATATTGATAATTATATATGTATTTCTAATGTCCCCTCAAACCTTATATCCATAGTTCACTTAAAATACCCTTTCATGAGTCTAGCCTTAATAAAAAATAAAACAGCCAAATTCAATATTACAGCTGCATGGTAGATTAAATTGGCTGGGAGAGTTCACCACTGTTGAGCCAGGTCCTCCCATTAATTTATCATACCAGTAAAGGCAGCTTTAATCTAAATCTAACCACCTATGCATTTCAGGCGTGCATATTTATCAAAATTCTAAACTATTAAAAACGCGTAAGATTCTTTTTAAAAACAAACAATTTCAACTGCCCTTATTGCAATGGAAAAATTAAAGGGAGTGCCTGGCTTATAAGTGGTGAACCCTCCCAGCGGTTTCGCAGAATAATTTTTTAAAATAATCATACGCGTCTATAATAGTTTCGAATTTTCATAACAGATGGCGCGCTGATGCATCATAAAGTACATATTTATGTTAAAAATGATCCAAGTGGAATCTCTATATCTTCCAAAAAATATTCCTATTTTTATGCACATTTCTTTCCTGACATCAAAAAATTTCACTCTACATCGATGTTATTGGTGCTCAATAAAAAATTTAATATTTTTGCTTTTCTATCTTAATCCTTTCTTTATTGGAGAAATGTTGACCTAAAAAAACTTACATTTAAAATATTAAAATATTAGTTATTTTTTTATAAATATAGTTATTGTATTCACTAACATTGTATATATTTGTGTTTACATTTTGTTTTCAATATTTTATTGTTAGAATATTGTAACAAAGTATTTATTAATTTTATTATTTTTATTAACAGAGTGGTCATTTTTTTATGTCTATATTTTGATACTATGTTAATTTACCCCGTGGCTTATCTTTTGTTTACCATTCATAGTTTGTGCTTGTCTGAAATAAATCGTTGTCTTGAAGTTGGTCTTCCCTAATTTTCCACGTGGCAAAGGATTCCATCGAAGTCTTGGAAACTTGTCTCTAGTATCTTTGCGTCCTTTTTCTTGCGGTGTGAAGAGCGGCTTTGTCGTCGTATCGTCTATAGGGACATCGTCATCTTCGAGGGAAGTCTTGGCTTTAGCACGGCGGTGGAATCCTGGAGTCAGACTCTGAAAATGTAGATCACAGCACCCATAGCTTCAAGGTCTTTTCGGCGGTCTTCAGTTTGTCTTCCCTAACTTACCCAGCATCTCCACCAAAAGGTCACGTGGAAAATTAGGGAAGACAAACTTCGGGATGAGACAGCAAATTATTTTTAAGGCAAGAACGAACTATGAATGGTAAACAAAAGATAAGCCACGAGGTAAATTAACAGAGTAGCAAGATATAAACATAAAAATGACCACTCTGTTAATAAAAATAATAAAATTAATAAATACTTTGTTACAATATTTTAAAGCTATAGTATTGTGCAAAATAAAATGTACAAAAAACTAGTATTTTACACTTGCACAATAAAGACAAAATTTCAATTAATTTTAGAGACAATATTATTATGCCCGTAGAAGAAATTAAAATTCTTGGAATTACGATAGCGAATCATAGATGGAAAAACAAATTGAATTTTGGCCCTCACCTTAACATTATACTAAACAAAACCCAAAGATTGAAAAACCTTCTTTTTTCAATATGTGGAAAATCTTGGGGTCTTAGCACCCAAAAAAGGCTTACACTTTATAAATCTATAATAAGAACAACGTTAACTTACGGAACAGAAATATGGTTTCAATTTATTAGCAAAAAATATAAGTACAAACTGAACTCAATGCAATATCAAATTCTGCTATGGTGTACCCAAACATATAAAACAACCAGTTATAACTGTGTTCACACCTTAGCCAATATTCCTTTGATCACTGATTATATGGAATCTAGAATTATAGGTTATATGAGTTGAATAATTTATCAACAGAAGTTAAACAATTTTATGATTTGTATATTCCAGGTTTACTCAAATATTTCATTATATCAAGGATTAATTTACTGAAAAAGAATACTAATCAAACATTTCAAAGTTTCTTTCCTTATGCAATTCCGAAATATTTTCGACCAAACTATTATAATTCACAATTTATAACGAACCATGGAAATTTTAAGGGATTTTTATCAAAAATTGGCGCGAGTGAAGACTCTAGCTGTCATTGTGGCAACGAATTCCAGGACTCGAGACACCTACTGCTGGAATGTCCACTCTTCTTCACCGCTAGACAACAGACAATAAATAATGTTGTAGATCTATATCAATTTGTAAATAGCAGAGAGAATTATCATAAATTTAATTATTTTTGTAAATATATTCATGACTTTCTTTCAAACCTGAAAGGTTCAGGTTCCTAATATTTATATATATTTTTTTCTTTTTATTTCGATCACTTTTTTTTTTTGTAAAAATTTTATAACTGTTTCTGTTTAAAAAATGTAAATCGACGCAATTATCCCTAGCCGGGATATCGCGTTTGTGTGTTGAAATAATTAAATAAAAAAAATGTGCATATTAAAATGAGATTTATTCCTCTTTTGTGTGTTTATATATATTTCAGCAAACTCAATATTTACGTAGAAATATGAAAATATTAATATAGGAAAATAAAATATATCAAAATATATATTTAAAAAATATACATTTTAAATATTTGAACTGGGTGTTTAACCGTTTTTTTCATCAAATTGAAAGTATATATTATGAAAAAGGCATCTCCTTATTGTGCAACTGAAAGTTGCTGATGGCTTGCGCCATCTATCGGAATAAATATTAACTATTCTCGTTGATTTTTAATTATTCCAGAATTGGCCAAATATCCATTCTTGATTAATCAAGAAAAGCTAACAACGGACGGGTTTCGGGCTGTTGGCCCTCATCAGCGTGGTGCAAGCTGTAGTGAGTGAAAGTATATAGTTTGATATTGAAGTTCATAATATATATATATATATGGTAATTTAAAACAACAACCTCATATTGTGTAGATAACTTATAACAAGATTGTCATGTTGTATATAGAAACACATCTATAAATAATTATGCGCATGATTAATCTGTGTCTTTACATCACCCTATGTAATGTAATTTGTACAAAGTGGATAAATAAATAAAATCTGTAATAGATTTAAGAGTTGAGCTAAAGCAGAGATCGAGCATAGTATTACCAAAACAACAAAGTCTAAAGATGTAAGTCATAAATCAGGTCGATTTACAATTCCCACAAACAAGGCCACCCACACTGTCACATGTGGTGGAAGGCAGAGACCCCTCTCACACCTAGACATGCCAAGGCCCCCCTTTTCTCAGAAACGCCCATGTCACATAAGGTCGCCCCGTCTTTAACCTATAAATACATCACCTTACAGTGACTTGACAGCTCAGTACAGTTCAGTTCAGTTTAGTTTAAGTTCACCCTCAGCGAAGCTCACGTCGGTTGTCACCAAGGTCCTCCTCATTCACCATGTAGACTAGTAAGGACTCTTCTATCTCCATCTTTCGCTCCCGGCTCAACTTTTATCTGTTTACGGAACTTTCTTAGTGAAACTGTGTCTTCGTTTTTTGTGTGGACATCCCAAACTTTCCACTCTGCCTCGACCACGACTGCCTGTATTTTGTGAGAACTTTTAAAGGTCTTCCAAGGTGCAGAGAGGTACTGGAAAACTCTACACAAGGCTTACCAGGACTTCAACATTATTTCAGTAGTCGACAGGATCTCTACAAAAGCTACTGGAATTCTCATCTCATTACATGAGTCGACAGGATCTCATCACAGATAAGTCGACAGCAACTTATTACATTTAAGTCGACAGGATTCTACAAGTCGACAACAACCAAACACTCATCTTTTATTACATATATATATATATTATAATAAAGTATAATGCGGCTATGATTATAGAACGACGTTTAACAAGTTTTACCGCAAATGTTTCTTTTTTTTTTTCTTTTTTTCCAGTCCAGTTTTTCATTATTTTAAGGAGAAATAAAGACTATTCCTATCCTTAGGGATGAAGTATGAAAGGATGAATTGTGAAGAGTAATGATGAACGGAAAAATAAAAGTGTCCAGAGATGGGAATCGAACTCACAGTGTTCCGCTTACCGGGCAGATGACATGTCCACTAGGTTACCCTAGACATATTTTTCCGTTTGTAAATATTATATAATGGGTTCGATTCCTATCCCTGAACACTTTTATTTTTCCGTTCATTATTACTCTTCACATTTTATTGCAGCGTTGATAAGGAGCAAACAGGTGTTACACAGGTATGTGAGGAGATCACCAGATACAGACCAAGCACACAGAGAACGTTTTAAACATCTTCACACAACTCACTCCTGGAAGAGTCCTCGCATTCCTTTTCAAACCTCTTTATGTACAAACATGGCCATATTGGTCCAATGAGAATGCGTGGAAGATCAATTCACTCAACAAAAAAACAACATTCTTCCCAAATACCTGAAAATTTCTTAAGATTTTATCAAAAAGTTGACATTGTTTTAATAGTTAAGTTTTATCGAAATAAGACTCATTCCAGCTTTACAATTTGAACTGAATGTTTATTTCATCTAGTAATCTCCTTTTATACAAAATAGAGACATAGAGGTAAAGAGGAAATATTTTACATAAAGTTAAAACAATTAACAAATGTAATGAGTTTGCATAGTCATTAATAAATATTGAATAATTTTTAACGCCAAATGTTTTAATTTTTGTTTGTTCCTGACGAAGACAGAAGATTTTTGTCGAAACGTCGAGGTAATAAAAAGATTACTGGCCGAAATATTTTTTTTTATTTTCAAGAACTATGAATGCCGGCCAGGCAGCCTCTATCTTTATGATTAATAAATACACTATGTAACATTATTATAGGTTATTTAAAATATCACAACAGAAATCAATTTTGTAAATGATATTTTGTTTGTTTAGTTCTTCGATGTAACGTGCCGGTGTGTGTAGCTGAACCGCCTACCTTGGTGGAGACTTTTCCCGATGAAGATGCAACGGTTGTGAGGCCTGGAGAACCTTTCAGCTTGCGGTGTCTGGCAGCGGGTAACCCCATCCCGCAGGTGACCTGGCATCGATATGGTGAGCCGGTACGGGACGGTAACGGGGTACGGGTCGGTGACTTTGTTACCCGAGATGGAAGAAGGGTTGCCAGCTACGTGAACGTCTCCCGAGCAGCAGCGGCCGACGGTGGCGTCTACGAGTGCCGTGTGGAGAACGCCTTCGGAGCTGCAGCCTGGACTGCTATGATCAAAGTACTGGGACCTCCCTTCATCAGTGCTATGGCGAACCGTACGCTGGTAGCTGGTGACACGCTGATCCTCCACTGTCCTTTCTCTGGTCATCCCATCCTCAACGTACGCTGGCTCAAAGGTAAATTTGTATAATCTACATATGCAAATATATAATAAACTCTATAATACAATATAATGCGGCCTATGATTCTAGAACGAACTGTGAAAATTATTACGCATGTGTTTCTTTTGAACGAAAAATCGAAATTTATTTTAAGGAGAAATAACGATTATTTCTAACCTTAAGAATGAAGTATGAAAGGATGAATTGTGAAGAGTAATAATAAACAGAAGTTCCCATCCCTGTACACTTTATTTTTCCGTTTATCATTACACTTCACAATTCATCCTTTCATACCTATTCTTAAGGTTAGAAATAATCGTTATTTCTCCTTAAAATAAATTTCGATTTATCGTTCAAAAGAAACACATGCGGGATAATTTTATTCCGTTCTATAATATACTTTAATTATTGAGGGGCAACCTGTATGACATGTTGTCATGGGGTTTTTCCAGAGTTACTACGTGTTATCTGAGATGAGCCCAAGTTAAGAAATTATTTACTTAACTCAAATAAACATATAGTAAAGATAATAACAATGAGTAGTTAGCGACTGACCTTTGCTGTACAACACGTCTACACATTCAAAGACCATTTCAACTCAGTACTTAACTATCTTGTTACCAGAAGCGCTAAAATTGTCTTACTAGTAAGTGACGCTGCCATTAGACTTGAGTAAGGTGACTTCAATACTAAGTAAAATTATCAGACTTCCAGAGAGAAGCTTCTTTTCGATTTTTTGAAGTTTCTTTTTAAAATCTTTCATCTCTAGCTTTCGGAAACGCGAATGCTTTTCTACAGATGAAACTTGAAAAAAAAATTTTTTTTTTCTTAGAATTATGAAAAAGGAATCTCCTTATCGTGCAGCAGAAAGTTGCTGGTGGCTTGCGCCATCTATCGGAATAAATATAAACTATTCTCGTTGATTTTTAATTATTCCATAATTGGCATGAATAATTAAAAATAAACGAGATTAGTTGATATTTATTCCGATAGATGGCGCAAGCCATCAGCAACTTTCAGTTCACGATAAGGAGATGCCTTTTTTTTTTTATAATTCATGCACCTTATCCCAGTACAATATCACATTTGTACTATTTTTCACATTCTTCTTTGAAGTCTGATATTTTTAATTTAATACACGTTCATTATTGTTTATTTTGTACTCCTGTAGAAGGTCGAAAATTCTAGCCCTACTTACATAAAAGAATTCTATCAGAAACACCAAATTGTTCCTGCGGAGAAACTGAACAAACTGCTCTTCACCTTATCTATGACTGTCCGAACTTTACAGAAATGAGACATCGATTGTTCTCTGATCTAAATCATTCAACTCTCTTACATCAACCACTTTGTCTATATATATTTTATGAACTCTGACGATTAATACATGTAATATTTATATAATATTTACGAACGGAAAAAATATGTACAGGGTAGCCTAGTGGACATGGCATCTGCCCGGTAAGCGGAACTCTGTGGGTTCGTTTCCCTTCCCTGGGAACTCTTTATTTTTCCGTTTATCATTACTCTTTACAATTCATCTTTTCATACTTCAATCATAAGGTTAGAAATAATCGTAATTTATCCTTTAAATAATTTTAAATTTTTCGTTTGAAAGAAATGCATGCGGGATAATTTTCAAATGTCGTTTTACATGTAAATTTGTAAATATTTGATTCTAAGTTCTAATTTGTTTGTTGCTTTGTTTCCTTCTGTAATAGGAGCAAATACTTCAGTATCGCGTCTGTTTGATTGGTTTATCATTAAATTAGCAAAAAAAAAAAGAAAGGTGGAAATATCTGAAAGCATGTAAATGTAATTAAGTGAGAAATATTTAACCAGAAAAATTTTGAAAAAGTAAAAATAAAAATAAGGTAAAAGGTTTGTTTTAATTTTAAATTTGCAAGCTTTTGAGCATATATACTGCTCTTCAACGGGCTAATATTCTATGTACAATCTCTTAATAATATTTATACTAAATAATTAACTTCTTTTGTCATTGGCATTTGCGGGCGTGCATCAGACTGTTTCCAGCTAAAGTAATAGATATTATATTCGGATGAAATATACCAATAACAAAAGTTTTCAATTATTTTGTATAAATATTATTTAGAGATTGTCCATAGAGTATTAGCCCGTTTAAGAACAGTATATTTGCTTGAAAACTTCCAAATTTAAAGATAACAAACTTTTTACCTGATATTTATTTTAACTTTTTTAAATGTAACTATAATGAAAAGAAACATATCTACAGAAACATGTTGAATTATTTGATTGTTAAGGTCCCACGTCTGGTCTACAGAATGAACATAGAAACCAGTAGAGTTATTGTTTGAAGTTTATATGTTAATTTTGTAAATATTCTTATTTTTTAATTCATAAAAGCATTTTTATGACAGACATATTCAATTTATTATCATCAATTATTTTAGTTATCAAATCATTTGCAATTGTAGTTTCTTTTTGTTTTGTTATGTTCCTTTTTAAGCAATAAAATATATAGAACTGAGGTGTAATATTCAATTCAAGCATATGGAACCAACATCATTTTTAAAACAAAGCAAAACCATAAGCTTGTACAACTTTCACTGTATGAAAAAATAGAGTTGTAATGAAGAGATTCCATGTTATCAAAGACATCCGTTATAGGAACCATTAGTTGTGGGATAATCCCCCAGATGACCAATGGCTTGTGGTTAATATCTCTTCTTCAACTTATTTTATTAACTTAGTGGTCAGCTTAACCTTATTTCTTCATTGTCTATATACAGTTGAATTAGTCTATAGCGCCCCCTCTAAATAGCGCCTACCTCTCTATAGCGCATTTTAAATACGTAGTACGATGCGATTTACATTAAAAGTTACTTGTCTATAGCGCCCCCTCTAAATAGCGCCTCCCTCTCTATATCGCCCGATTTTGAATACGTAGAACGATGCATTTACATTAAAAGTAACCTGTTTGTAGCGCCCCTTCTAAATAGCGCCTCCCTCTCTATATCGCCCGATTTTGAATACGTAGAACGATGCATTTTACATTAAAAGTTACCTGTCTATAGCGCCCTCTCTAAATAGCGCCTCCCTCTCTATAGCGCCCGATTTTAAATACGTAGTACGATGCGATTTACATTAAAAGTTACCTGTCTATAGCGCCCTCTCTAAATAGCGCCTCCCTCTCTATAGCGCCCGATTTTAAATACGTAGTACGATGCCATTAAAAGTGACCTGTCTATAGCACCCCCTCTCTATAGCACCCTATTTCGGTGAGTCCCAAGAGGGGGCGCTATAGACAGGTTTAACTGTAACTATGTATATAAGTGTTCGTTGGAAGGATGGTCTAAACCAGGGATCGGCAAACTTTTCAGTCGGAAGAGTTGAAAATTACAATTTACAAAATTTTAAAGCTTTAAAAGAGCCACAAAATGTTTTCTTGCCAACAATAAATAGTACTCACATAAATAATATTTACGTATGGAACTATATAAAGAACTTCACATCCAAAGAAGCGCATGTGGCTCGATAGCTACAGTTTGCCGACCCCTGATCTAAACCGTTGGTTTTGGACAGCTACGACCCGGGTTGGATTTCCGCATTGAGCAATTTTTTCCTATTATAAAATGCTTCGATGGCCCCAGATTCTTGTAAAACTTCAACTCCACCAGCCAGTTCAAGTAACCAAACGGGTCTCTGGCACAATTGTAAGTGCAAAAGTCGAACTGCTTTTCACATGTGTAGACATGTGGTACACTTACAGTAAAAGCAGTTGCTAACTTCT